AGGATCTGGGGAATTGGAATGTGCAAACCAAAATGTGACAGGGATTCAGAAAGCCTCTGGCAAACCTACACTCAGTGTCCGTTGCCTGTTGAAAAGTGATAGCATCAGTGCTTCAAGGTGTGTGGGTATCATTCGTAAACCTTGTGAGGTATGCATTCCCTGCCTATGTATTCGATATCTGTTTGTCAATGTTTCACATCACAAAGGGGTTTGGTATCCTCTCCTCTTTCCAGGTGCACATTGAAGTGCAGAGGGTGGTAGCTTAATGTGCTTGGTCATGTGTGTTCAACAAAGAAAATCTGCAGGTGCTCTATTTTCTTTTGCTAGGTCCACAACTTTCCTTTGAAGGTTCTTAATCTGTCTCCATATATAGGCCATCAAAATTGCGTAAACTTTCTAAAGCTCTTGCATTATTGGCTCTTCAATTAACTAATATGTGGTGACCCTCCTGATGTAGCTTGTAGCTGTTATTTATGATTCTTCAGTGGAAGTTAACTTACCTGTTTGCCATTGAGTATGTTTAACAAATTATTTTCTCATCTCAATGGCAGTAGCTGTTCTGATATCCATTTTGTTTTCCTCTGGACATGGAAAAAAAGTTATGACTAACAACAGTTTAGCATGAATCAAGAAATTCAATTACAGCCACATATTGGTACTTTTGTTGTATATATGTGAAACCAAGATCATATTTACAATGATGAAACATATAATGTATTCACTTATACTTTATTATTACAAAAGTAATTAGGAATAAATATGAATAGGGCTTGAGTTTGCATTAGTCAGAGTTTGCATCACATCATCTTTGATTCGGCAGACAGACAAAAATCCTTGGCTCATAAGCTTTGCATAGAATAATAATGCTTAATTAAAGAATAATTAATCTTTGAAAGTTTCAAATTTAAATTTAAAAATAAAAAATGAATTAAAAGGAATTATCTTTCACTGTTCAATTAAAAAAATGGATAATTGGATGTTAAAGAATTTTGTCAATTAAAAAAAAACTATTTAAGGGATAGTGAAGGAGGGGTCCCACATGTTATCCATCGATATAACACAACATGGGATGTGGAAGAGGGACCAATGAGGGATCCCCGAGGGTGTGGACAAGCAGACAAGTAGGGGCCCACAGCTGGTTCCCTACCCAATCATCCAAGCTGGGGTCCACAAGGTTTCCATGTTCCATGTCTTGTCCCTAACCAAATCATCATTCAATGTCGGCCCCACCCAACTCCCACGCTTTTGCCATATATTTTCTCAATTCCTCTGCTCCTCCTCCCCCCCATGGAAAGCTTGTGTCCGCCCGTGTATGACATTTTACGGCACACTTCAAAAAAAAAAAAAAAAAAGGCCCTTAGTTACATCATACAATGAAAAAAATTATACCCATTTTGATTTTCATTATTATATTGATAATTGTCAATGGTAATTAGTCAAATAATTACTATTATTCCCACTAAAAGTGCTCAACTTTTTAGAAAATTTGGATAAAATCTTCAGCACCTTTTTCGTGGAAATAAAATTATTTTTTAATTAATTTTTAATATATTTTAAAAAACATGTATCATCTTATTAATTTTATTTATAAAATTTTAAAAATTTCAATAACGATAAATAAAATAATTTTGACTTCATACACCTAGAAACCAAATCTTTTTTTTTTTTTTACAATACAAACAAAAGTTTTCAATATACATTCACAGTTACAGGCAAATTTAGAATTAAATTTATGAAACAGACGACTCCAAAACATCATGAAAGAATTGATTTATTTATTTATTTTAGTGATCAAAGTGTCGGCATTGTACTGATCAAGCATTTACTAGACATTCAACAAAAGTGCTTTCAATGGTGTCCACCTCAACGCATGCACTAAAATTGTATTATATATATATAATAATAACTTAAAATATTCGATTCCAAGGAAAAAGTGCAATTCAAAATATAAAAACCAATTATTGGGGCATAAACAAACTGTTATGAGTTATATATAATATATTCAACAATTCCTAGTAGTGACCAAAAAAAAAAAAACCCTAAGATTGTTGGCCGTTATTCAATTATATTAAAAAATTATGTAAATTCATATAAAATTTTAATCAATCTCATATAATTTTAAATTATGATTCATTAATTGTAGGTGATATGCTCTTCTTATGAGTTGAATACTTAAAAAAAAAAAAACTATTCATATAATTGAAGTTCCCTATGTTATTTATTAAGAAGGAAAAGAAAAGATGGATAATTTTAGACATGATAGCCAACTTTAATTTGTCCACCAAATGAAATTAATGAACAAGAGTATATTAGTCTTAAGTTTTGGAGGTATCCAATCTATGTTTGGTATGGGAAATAAAGAAAGATGGAAAATATTTTTAATTTAATAACTGAGATTTTGGATAATATATATTATTTTATAGTTTAATTATTATATTAAACCTTTTTTTCTTATTAATTAGATTATTAAATCTCAATCCGAAAAATAATTTTGAGAGACTCTTGTGAGTCAGTCTTCGTCTCGTGCAATATTAATTTCGGACTTCAAAATTTTTTATGGTTAAGCATAAAATTTCTTTTTGTAAATTATCACTTTTTCTTCAATTTTTTATCTAAAACATTTTGATGAATGATATATAGAGAAGGTGCTTAAATTAAAAAGAAAGAATTGCAAAATTGGACATCAAAGTCCATTATATAAGGGAGGTTTCTTGTTCAGTATATGCCTCAAAGTCCAAAGATTATTAAATGATCTCTTGAATGTGCCCCAACCGACCAATTTCTTTAAGAAATTTAGTTCTTTTTAGATATTTTTTTATTTTATGTATAAATTTCAGTTATTTACATCATATACCAAGCTTAATTTGTTATCCTTGTTTAAGGTAACATCTCATTGATTACAATTTGAGTCTCCATCTTGAATGTTTCAACAGTTTTATGAAAAGGGAAAGCATTTAAAGTTTGTTTAGGTTTGGTTGGATCTGAATCGAGTTTTGAATATAAAATTTTAAGCTTAAATAAAGTTTGGGATAGTTTTAAAATATTATTTTACTAATAAAAATAGGTATATAATTTAGTGCAATAATAACAATTAATCGGATTTCACTCAAAAATAATATATTTAAGTTCAAATAATTTTTCCTAATTTTTGTTAAAGGAAAAAAAAAGAGAAATTTAATAAGTCTGACAAAGTTAAAAATTATCAGAAAAGAAATACTAACAGATTACCAGATTCTATAAAAGGCTATCAATGCAAATCAGGATTTGTACACTTTCTGCTAGGGGAAAACAATAGGGTGGTTGGGAAAAATTATGTAAAACAAATTTTCAAAGATTTGAGCTGTGCAAATCAGTGGCAGTTGGAATAGGGAAAGAAAGAGTCAGCAGTTCAGTGTAAATTACCAGGAAAGCACATGATCATCATAATAAAAGTTCTTCTTTTGCATTAATCTTATGGAATTTTTTCAGGAGATTTTCCATATTATCAAACATGTTATAAACTGGGATATTGTTCAATAAGGTCATCATGACTTAGGTAGTTTACTTAGAAATGAATGTTCCTGCAAAATATTAAATTTTCTCCAACCCCATATTCTTACCACTTTACTTGGCATTGGAATCCAGAAATTAAAAATGGAAAAAAAATTAAATTTTTATTCATAATTTTTTATATATTATAAGAGGATATCTAAAAAAATCTTAAGTTTGCTGCTGATTTATTATTTGCCTTTTTGTCTTTTTTTGACCCTTCATTTAAACAAGATTTGCCTTCATTGGTTTGCGATTAAAACAAATAATTATAAATTGGGTGCAAACTTAAGCAAACTGCTTTGCAATATGGATACAAAACTTGGCAGCCATGGTCAAGATCCCAACTTGAAGTCCAAGTTGTTTTCGGATTTCTGTTGTTACCTAAAACCTACCCCTCGAATGTGCAATTGACTTCATCTTGACCTGTGATTGGCGGTGGGAATATTCGAGTCAATTTTGGCCACACCTAGGTTTCATCCCCGTTTCCTTGTACACCAATTTTCCTTTCATTATTATAATTAGTAAGTCAAAGCACAAGATTAATTTTACTTGATCTCTAATAAAATCCCCTTTACTTGTCTTAATTGAAATGGTAATAAAGCACCCTTCAGAGTTCACACCAAGAGCATGAAGGTGATTAATTGAAACAAATAATAATTAGTACATTATTTAAAAAAAAAAAAGAAAACGGTTTCGAAAATTAATTTTCTTTGTTTATGTATTATATTTACAAAATTCAGTAAAAAATATATATTTATTATATATTTTTTAAAAATATTACTTTAATTTGTGCCATTAGTCGCAATTAACATTTCCCACGTTGAAAATTGGGCGTTACAATTCGTCTTACCCGTTAACAGGTGAAACAGCATTAAATTCCTCTGTATCACAACGCAATAACTATTCATTGACGCTTTAATGCACTTTAGCTCTGCTAATAATAATAATAATGGTAAGACTTGATCTTAATTCCTAAGCCAAACACAACATTTTTCCAATGTTACCCCACACCACTGATCTCACCCCCAATCACCAACTTCTCCATCAAAAAAGTCAGAAAATTAAGTGAATGCCCAAAGACTATGAGAATGGAATGGAGTTGAGGTGTAGAATGAAAAAACCACCCTGCCCTTGAACTCGAAGGTTCAGGTCAGTTCTAGAGGGAAGCTATTAATTCAGTAGGTCTGTGTAGGTATGTATGTATGAATGTGGGAGAGGCGCGCCTGCCCCGCCCTGCTCCAAACCAAGGCCCCCTTTAGTCTAAGCTTGCAATCATTTCACCAGCTGACCTTTGAACCGACAACCAGACCACCACTTATAAACAGAAAACCTGCCGGTTATTCTCCTACACCACCCAGAATTTTCAATCTCTCTGACACGTGTCTTAGATCAAATGGGTCAGGCCTTTTGACTTAATGACCAAGTAAAAAACCCTAGTACTTCTCTCTCTCAAGATCTTCAATTCTTATTTTGCTTCCTATTTTTCTCCCTTGTATCTATTTATTATATTGACCTTTATATCTATCACACCGCCTTTTTTCCTCCTTCATTTCATCTCATTTCATTTTCTTATGTCTCTCATTTGTCTCCTTTTGTTGCCCTTTTTTTATTTATCTTTTTAAAATCTTTACCTTTTCTCTTCTTTCTTCTCCTGCAACTTTCATGGCGGTTTTACCCACCTGCTCCTCTAACTTGGAATTGACAATATCTGTTCCTGGCTTCTCTTTTTCCCCTTCTATTCCTTCTTCTGGTAAGCAAAAAGCATCTCTTTTCTTCTCTTTCCCTTCACTTTTTTTTTCCCACCCTTTTCTTACTTATTACTTCCTAATTTTGATAAGATATATATCAAAACTTTCTTTTTACTTTTAAAATCCCATGTTTTATGAAGTTTCCGCCTTGATTTTCTATACTCGGATTCCATGCATGGTTTCCAAAAAAGGGTCTTTTTTTCCTTTAATATGATCGTCCTCATGGTTGATGAATATTTTATTGATATTGCTTCAAATTTGATATATTTTCCTTTTCTTTTTTTTTCCCATTTTTTGGTGAATGAAAATATTATACTAAAGGTCATGAACGGTGTTCTACAGTGCGAGATTTGGATATAAACCAAGTACCATCGGGAGGAGCAGAAGATGAATGGATCACAGCAAGCATGGAGGTTGAAGAAGAAAGCTGGAATGGAGCCCCTCCTCGCAAAAAACTTCGTCTTACAAAAGAGCAGTCTCGCCTTCTTGAAGAAAGTTTCAGACAAAATAATACCCTAAACCCTGTATGTAATTTTCAAACTACTACCTATTACCTATTTATTAACAAACACCAAACACTGAAAATTTCTTTCTTTTTTCACATAAAGTATCCAATAAATTCATCAGATCATCTCTTTATTTAATGCCTTTTGGCGTTTTGTGTTTTCAGAAGCAGAAAGAAGCATTGGCTTTGCAGCTGAAGCTTAGGCCAAGGCAGGTTGAGGTTTGGTTCCAGAACCGTAGGGCCAGGTACTGCTAACTCTACCCTATACATTTGTACAGCTTCATGTACACAAATATATATTGCTTCATCCAAAACAATTCCTCTTTTTTTCGTTTTTTCCTGATCGTTGGGGATTAAAAGTAGCATAGGGTAGATATCATCAAAACGTTGACAGAATATCACAAAGTATATAAATCTGAATCAGATTCTACCAGTGTATTTTTCGTACACTAAAAATTTAAAGTAGAAAGTGAAACAATAGATTTTTTTTATGATGCTACTATAACTGGATTCATTTTTATGGGGTTGTCTTGTCACTTCCTTGACAAACGGTTGTTTTTGGAAGTTGATATATCACTATCAATTAATCAGCTGTTCAGAGCCTTTAGACACCTTAAGAACACAAGGAACAAGTTAGAGGAAATTAAAACTACTTTTTTTTGTTTTTTTAAACTATATTATTTTTGGTTGTGTATGCATGACATAATTAACAAAGAAAATATCTTGTCATTTGTTAGGTTTATGGGTTTCCTTTTCTCTTTAATTAAAAAGAAGAGAACTAGTAGAACTTATGTTTCAGAGAAAGTTATTTGATGCTACCAAAGGCAGTTGTCGTTCCACATATGTGGTATAAGTATTAATGTCTGCAATGGAAGTTGATTATTTTCCTCAAAATAATTTTATCATTGTAAAACTTAGCATGAAATTTAGATGAATATGCTAATAACAATAACGTGGTCTGCCAGTACTCTTAATTTCATAACCTCAAATAAATAAATATATATGTATAAAAAAATTTAGACGAATATGATAATTAAGAAAGAGCGATAAAGGGGTAGAGAGATATATAGTAACACTATCAAGTTTCAATAAACAAAAGCTATAACAGGTTCAGAAAAAAGGACACATGACCGACAAGTAGCTGAACAGATTTATGAAGAATTAATGGTGTGATTTGATTTCATGAGCCGAGAGCTTTGAGGATCAAAATAATGATGGTTTGTCTAAAAACATCAAATATATAACAATGATAGCATAGCAGCAGCAATTGAGAATATTGCATGTCTGTTTGTAGCCTCGTGTGCTAGTCAGATCATCACCCCTCTAATAAAGTTTTGCTTTGACCCATCATTCTTTGGACTTAGCCATGCATTAATGAATCATTGCATACGTGTACTACACTATTGATGAAATCAACAAAGGGAAAAAGGAAACCCTTCCCCCCCCCCCCCCCCTTCCGGCCCGAAGCTAATTAATTTGTTGTTTTGCTCTTTTTTCAATGCCAACTGCCAAAAGCAACTGAGAACAGATTACAGAAACATGACTGTAATAGAAATTGCCGTTTCTTTTGAGTCATAGATATATCATTTGGTTGTATAGATGTAATGGTTAGCATTTAATATGATAATAAATACACTTATATTAGATATGAATAAAATCCAAGTTTGAATTTACTACTCTCCATTCATCAGTTAAAGGAAAAAATGGGTGAAGGAACGAAAAAGATAATTACAAAATGCTTTTACTTATTCAAGAGATTTATGAATTTCATACTTAAATGCAATGATATTCTGTTTCTCAAGTTTTTAAAGCTAGGTTGGTCACGCCACGTGAAAGCGTAAAGACCTTGCACGTCAGTGTTATATCATATAAATATATATACATATATATATATGTATGTATGTAAGAATGAAATTTCTTTATTAGTAATCCTTTGGAACTAACCAATCACTTGAAAAAGGAAAAAAGAAGAAAAAAAATGTTGCTGAAATTAATAGCAATTCTTTTTTGTGTTAATTCAGATTGTACCAGATGGGGAAAGTTTCAAATTTCTGTGGTTTTATGTTTCTGTTGCATATTTTATATAACTAAAGGAATGAAACCAAAAAACCAAGGTAGATATAGAGTTTATTAATTTTGTTCATCACAAATTGACCAAATAGGAGCAAGTTGAAACAGACAGAGATGGAGTGTGAATACCTGAAGAGATGGTTTGGATCACTGACTGAACAGAACCGGAGACTTCAAAGGGAGGTGGAGGAGCTTAGGGCCATGAAAGTAGGGCCACCAACAGTGATTTCACCTCACAGCTGTGAACCTCTCCCTGCATCAACCCTTACAATGTGCCCTCGGTGCGAGCGTGTGGCCACCACTGCCCATGACAAGGGCCCCACTAAAGTGACCGCCGCCACCACCACTGCCACCGCATTGTCCTCTAAAGTTGGGACATCAGCACTCCAATCAAGGCCATCTTCGGCGGCTTGTTAATTAGTCAGGCTTAATGACCCACGTAAGAGGGTTTTAAAAGAAAAAAGATTTAGGGAATGTTCATAGTAGTTTACACACAATGTAAGGGATAGATACTACATATTGGTATCTAATCTACATAGGGATTTTACTTGCTTTTGCTTTGTCTTTATTTTATCGATCAATCTTTTATTGTTATTGCCTATTCAAAAGCCAACAAGCTGTTAAAAACCCACAATTTTTTTTTCTTGTGATTGTTTAGCCTAAAAAATTACAAAAAGAATAAGAAAAAGAATGGGAAGAAGGGGAAAAAAGATCACTCAAAATTGGTTTAAATTGTGGAAATTATATATGATTATAAATCCTGCTATTAATTTTGGTGCTAAGTTAAGATGATTTTGTAACGCCTTGAGCCAAATTTCAACAAATGTTGAGGCTATATGAACAATCCTAATCAGCCAAAATTCAGGCATTGTCAGGAACACTGAGCAATTACCAATGGTATCCCAAAAAAAATTCAATTGTCTTGAAAGAAGGGGGGAGGCTGGTTGGCATCACAATAATGACTTGTGGCAAAAAGTTACGTAAAGTCACTTTCAAATGATTTTGCCAGAAGAAACAAAACACACTAATGTGCGGGAACTTGGTAGCTAGACACATCTTTCGGGTCGTGGACTATGAAAAGTGTGATAACCCTAATATCTAAAAAAAGCTCATATCAAATCGATTATGATACCTCACCACAGTTCTAACCTTTAGACTTTGTCGGCTAATTAAGTTGGGGTTGGTAAATTCTACTGAAAACTTGGACTTTAATCACGCCTTCCCCCAAAAGATGCGAGGTTTGTATGTGAAATTTGTATTAAGAATTTGGGTTTATGCTCACTTTTTTAATTCGGTGAAGGGGAATTGTAGCTGTCAGCTCTGAGTTGAGGATCAAAAATTTAAAATCATGATAGAGAAAGAGAGTGGATAAAAGTAAAAGTGAGGAGTGTTTTTTGCATTTATATTTTGATATTTAAGTTAGAGATTTATTATAAGAAATCGAAAGAGAAAAAAAATAGGGAGAGTAAAAAAATAATAATGCGTATTGATAGTATCTGAATAATTTTATTTGTAGGTAAAAAGTGAAAAGACTTGTGAAATAAAATAATAACGTAATTAAATTGATGTGATATTATATATGTAAGATCAATTTAAAAATAAAAAATATTTTTTAATTGTCTGCTAATAGCCTTTAATGAAAAAGATAATTAATTTATCTTTTGAACCAAAAATACACTTTTTTATATGTTTCTCATAAAAATTAAATTTTGATCAACAAAAGAATTGAAGCGCTTCTCCTTACAAATTAAACTAAACCTTGTAGTATTTATTTGTAAGCATTATTATTTACAACATCAAACCAAATTGAAGATAACTGCCCCTCACGGCAAAGGAATATTTTGTAGCAATGGTTTAACTAGTATAAAGAAAGAAAGGATGTGTGCTTGATATGAGTTTAAAAATCCACAAAGCAAAGGCTCAAATATATGAGATCGACTTCTTAGGGCAGTTTCATCCTAGATGGCTCTCACCGTGGTGGCAGATAACACTTGAAGTTTAAGCTACAGGTCACAGATCCACCGTTATATATAAATCTCTGTACTTCAATGGTTTCGTTTCAATCTGAGATTTAGAAACATAAAAGAGATACAATTCTTAGATTGGATGCAAGCGCAAGCACATAGCTATTGAAGTAGAAATAAAATGAAACCTGAAACAATAGAAGTGCAGGGAATACATCGTCCATACCAATTACCTACGGGAGGAGCAGCAATGGAGGTAAATGAATGAGACAAAGTTTCTAGTTTCTTTGAATAGAGAATCATGCACTAATCACTGAATATAATGTTGGGGGTGCTTATACATTATTAATTAAGTAAACGTTAGAAAATAAACTTTGTAGTAGAAAGGTTTTACAAACTTTTCATGCAATATTATTGAAGTTGAAATGGCAAACTTGAGGGATTGGCTAATGGCGTCGGTGTTAAAAATGGGTGCTTTGAGAGATCTGTTTATAAATTGGGTTGGACCAAAGCACTCATGGCCTATACATCCTTTGACCTTTCCTCTGTAATTATATATGCACCCCGTAAGCCTGAGTAAAAGTGGGCTCACTCCTTAAAAAAAAAAAAGCCTGGGTTTGGGCCTTTTCCTTTAATACAAAAGTCTTAGAAAAAGAAAGTGCTGTTTTCCTTTTGCGTATGGAGTAGATCTAGTAATTCATGATATAATTAAGTATTTATTTTGTGTTAAATATATATAAAATATAAATATTATAATATTATAATTTATGTATCGTATTCGTGTTTAAAATTATCTAATTCGAAAGGAGGTGCACACAAAGACTGGACAAATCTTAATGATATGGAAGTTGGTTGTGCAACAAAACAGCTAGGAAAACAGTGTTCTCCCCCCTTTCACATAAACCCTAGGAGACACCCTATGATCTTGTGTCGGACAAAGGCCTTAACCGACAACTCAAGTCTTATTTCTGTGGGACATACCCTAAAATTAAAGTTTCTAGTTGATTTTCAAGGCATTGGGGTTCCTTTTCCCTTCTCTTGGTTTCTTACAAAAGAAAAGCTTGTTTTGAATTGGCATTAACAAACAATTCGAGTTCAAAAGATCTTCCATAAATCATATTAAATTCTTTTTAAAAAGTTAATTTCCTTTTTTTTAGCCAGTGAAGAAAAGTTGTTGGATAATTTTAAGAAATACACACAGATTGGCATAATTAGGCAGTTAATGTGGACTCCCTTCCAACCGAACAATTTGAGGTAAGAGACCAAATCACATGGGCCTCAAACTCTGACCTCTGCCTTTAATGCAATCGGTTCCTCACGGGGTATGCCTGCGGTGGCACATGCTCAGCAAATTTGCCACCGAAATTTCCTTCCCAACCCAAAATCTGTCAAAAGCATAAACTCAACATGTCCCCAACTCCCATTCAAGTATGTTTCCCTTATTTTCTCAATAAATCCAAGTGCTAATCCACGGGGAATGAGATTGCTTAATGCAAGCCTTAGCTGTCTTTTGGAAATTGCTTAGAGAAGGTAACAGGTTGGATTTTTATTCATTTTAAATCTGACTCGATTTTTATAATTTTAATATTTGAATCCAATTTGATATTAAAATAATTTTTATATTTTGCCGATCAACTCGTATATGTTTAAATTCATAATTGATCTGATCCGATTCAAAATTAATAAAATATTAATTTTTAAGTATAAATAATATATTCAGTATATTATTTAATATTATTTTAAATATAAATATATATTTTTAAAGTATGAATATAAAATGAAATAAATAATAAAATATATATTGGATTCGAGACAGATTTTGTATAAAATTGACTTTTTTCAAAAATATTTGATCCAACCCAAAATTTAATTAAAAAAATTAATATTAGAAAATCGAATTGGACAAAACCAGACAAATTCAAATTGGATTGCCAAGCCTCAAGTTTCTTCTTTTTTTTTGGAGAAACAAAGATAAAAGATAAATTTTGACAAATGCCCATTATGGAAGTAAGGGAACATTACCTAGCATTACGCATTAGGGCAGGCAAGGGATTTTGTTGTGATCGAGTGACAGTATCTTAAAAGAATGTTCTCTCACATGGAAGGATTTGGACTTAATAAACAATCACGATTCATTAATCAATGCCCCACAATTGCACCAAAATCTTCAAACCTATTATTTTCTATACATAAACAAAATTCTCATTGGTACTAATATTAAATGTTTGCTAATCTCATAATCTTCCTTTCATCTTTAATTATTTTTTCTATTTATGATTAAATATTATCCTAATCAAGATCATGTCTCGTGATTGAGATTGATGTTTCGAGTCAACTCGAACGTATTCACACGTGTCCAACAGTTAATGGTGGTTGATTTGTTTAACTGTTCACGTAAGGATGCATGTGTGAAAATGGCGAGGTTTTGGTCCAAGCCATAACGTGCCTGAGAAGACAACAATTAATCTTTGTTTAAGTTTAATTGTAAGTGTATAACAATTAACTTAGGTTAAAATATTAAAAAGTTTCTGAATTTTCTCATTTGATTTAGAGAATTTTTTATTGTTATTATATTCAAATAAATTTTTATTTTTTAATTTATATTTAAATAAAATTTATTTTAAATAAAAAAATTAATTTATATTAAAATTTTATTTAAGTATAAATTAAATTTTAAAAATTTATTCGAATACAAATTAAAATTTAAAAATTTATTTGGATGCAAAAAAAAGATGAAAGGGTTATTTGGATACAATAAAAGTATATAAATTTATTTAAATAAAATGATAAAATAAAAAAATTTATTATTTTAACCATTTAAGTTATAATTTAGGTAATGTTTATTATGGAGTAGCTATTTTAGAAATTATGGTGATTTATATATAATGATTAAATTAATATATTTGATAAATATTTGGTGATTTTGGATCATCAAAACTAATTAAATCATTATTTTTGAAGATGATGTAATTTCCATTCAAAATAGTGAAAATATTTTATCATTGAATTGAAATAATATGTAAAATTAATAATAATCAATATTCCTTTTTTAATTTGTGGATTAAAAATTTATTAACTCTCAAAATTGTAATTATTTTATATTATAAAATTTATATTTTCAAACTAATATTCACTGTAATTAGTTTTAAAATAATTTGTGTTTTTCTAATTTTTTTATAATATTTTATATATAATACAATCTTGTTATTTTTCTTTTATTATGAATTTAATAAAGTAGTTTTATTTTTTTAATTCAAACATTTTTTTTACATAATTTATATTATAAAAATTAATTCACCTATTAATAAAATATTTATTAATTTAATAATTTAATTATATTTTATTATAAAATAAAAAATATTAATAATATTTTACAAATTATTATCTTTAAACAATATTAAAATCATTAATTTATGTAACTATTACAATATATATAGTTATTTTCGTACTTTTAAATAAAATAATATTTGATTTTTAGTAATACCAAAAACATAGATATTTAATTCCTAAAAATTAATTATTATTAATTAAATAAAGTGATTTCAAATCGTGAATGATAAGATTATTTTAGTAACAAGATCACTTCGGTGATTAAGATATCAAACATTGCTTAAAGTTAATTTTGTGGACCTTTTCACAACAAAAAACATTGTGTGGGGGTTAAATATTGGTACCTTATCCTCCCTAAAGAAAGACGAAAAAGAAACATGAAATTAAAAAATATATATTAATGTTACATGAACCTAAGATCGATCTAATCAGAATCATTTGATTTAAAGCTTAAGATTTACTCTAGGGTAGTCCCTTGGACAAAGTTTGTCACAAATAAAGAAAAAAATGTAAATAATGTGGTGCATGTGACCAATTTAGGGCATGTGCTTTAGTCGAAGTTGGCATTGGCTTTAGGGAGGGAACCTTCTAAATCACAAACTCTTATGATAAGTTGTAGAGGTTTTATCATTATCCCTCCATTTGCCGAGAAACAAAAGAAAAGGAATTGGCATGTGTCCGATCGATGTCTCCCACGGGTGAGAGATGATGAGCTTAATTGTAATGAATATATTGGGAAAGGAAAACTAGGGTTGGGGGGCTCCAGGAGCACGCATGGTTAGAGGTACGACGAGCACGAGAGTGCATTGGTGGGGGAGAAGCCCAAATTGGGTCCACAGCCTCGCATCACTTAAACTTAAAGCACTACGTACTGCACAACAAAGATAGCCATTCTTCCAAGTTCGAGCCACTCAACCTTTGGACCATGAATCACAATATAAACCTACCCTTTCTGTTTACCCTTGCTTTTCCTCTCACATCTCAATCATTTCTTCCACTTTGATTTCCAATCAATCATCAATTATGTTTATATGTACGTCCCACGTTTGGGATTTTTTTTTTTGGAAACTAACATTTGCTTAATGAGA